CGCATTTCAATCTAACGTTATGAAGTAGAAAGAAAATAGAAAAAAGTTAAACATCATTACATCGTCTAGAACGTTGATCTAGTAACGAGTCCAAGACTGAAAAACATTTGATCGTATCTCCATCATAAATATTTATTAACAAACCTTAGTGAAAATAAACAGATAGTGGGTGGTGAAATTTATAAGCCGTATAAATTGATCTCTATTTATATTTGTCTGTAATTAACCAAAATATGGTCTTAACTATTTCTATCAAAATGATTTCTGTTAGTGTTTTCCTGTTCCTGTTCTGATTGTCAATTATATTTATTATGGACGTTTTATACATATGGGGAATATTCATTTGTTTTCTCGTCTGGTTGGGTTTATAAATAAAAATAAATATATATATTATTAATGATATTAATTATAATTCTTTTTAAACAAAATAAAAAACGAGTAAACAAATAACATTTTATTGACTTCTTCACTTAGGTATTTTGGTCAGTTCTTTTTTCTCCTGCCCTTAACGCAACTATGTGTTGTAGGCACAACGTGTAAATCATATGGTTAATGTTAATGGCTTTTAATAAGCCTGCAAATACTATGTGAAAACATATATTTATAGATACATAAAGATTTTCAGCAAAAAAACGAAAATATGTTTAGATACATTCAGTCCTCACAAAACATAATACTTCAAAATTTAATATCACTTAGTAGCCTAGCTTGTTCGTGTACAATGAGTTGCTATGAGTTGCTGCAAGGCGTCACATAAATCATGACCAAGTGGGTTCGTCGATACTAAGCAAATATGCTATGAGATTATAATTATACTGGCATATAACTTATTATATTCTATAGGTATAACTTTATACCGGTTTCAAGGACCAACGAACACTTTCTCTACTTTCTTGCATAAATGACAGCATGGTACCAAAACATAAAAGTTCAAAAGTCAAAGTTAAAATTTATCTATTCAATATAGGCCTGTTTTAAGCTCGTATTGACCGTCAAAAAAATGACCACCGATTGAATAATTTAGACCTGCCAAGAGAAGAACCGGTAAGAACCTCTCCGTTCTTTATCTCTTGTATAAAATGATATACACACAGTTGTAAAGTATAAAATCAGCAGCAGCCATGGGGCTTCCAGCGCCGAGCGAGAGTCATTTCCGCACATCCTTATCTTCAATGTATTCTTCAACATTAGAAAAGGCCTTTTCCATTAGTAGGTTTCACAAAATTATTACAAGTAACACAACCCAGTAAACGACTTTTAAATTTATTTAACTCATTTGAACTTAAAAATCTTTTTCATGAACCAACTCGTGTTACTAACTTATCCTCCTCATGTATAGATAATGTATTCTGTCACAGTGATGTATATGATAAATATGTTATAAATCATCTGAGCTCGGATCACTTTGGGCTAAAATTTTCAATAAATGAAAAAGCTAATACAAGCAAACTTAAGATCAAGTGTAAACCAGTCACTAATAATAGAATAAATGCTTTTAGAGATAAAGTGGCACATCATATGTTAAATAAAGATATAGGAGTCAATAACCCTATTGACTCTTATAGATCAATGGTTGACTTCCTCATATCTTCTTATAATGATACTTTTAAATCGCGCACAATTGTTAAGAATTCAAAATTAAAATTTAGTGACTGGGCAACAGTGGGTATATACAAAAGTAGGGATTCATTGTATGAATTATATAGTATGAGGCAGTGGAATCACGATCCTAACTTCCTTAAACGGGTACAAACATTTACAAAAATATTTAAAAAAGTCTGTATTCAGGCAAAATCTATTTATATAAGAAATAGCATAATAAATTCAAACAATAGAACTAAAGCCACATGGGACATCATTACCCGTATATCTGGAAGAACCAAGATATTCAGGGAACCTATAAAACTAGTTATAGGTAATACTCCCATAACATCAGATAACGAAATTGCGAGTAGTTTCGAAAGCTATTTTTCAAACATTGCGGTTAATGTCACACGTACATTAAAATCATCTCCCGCAGACGCAATTAATGTTTTAAGAAATAATGTTACCCCTTGCCTACACACATTTAAATTTAATCACGTAGATACTTATGATATTATAAAAGTTTTGAATTCTATTAATCTTAAAAATACAGAGGATTTATGGGGTATGTCCATAAAATTAATGAGCACAATAATGCCATATATTGCACCACATTTGGCTTCTATTTTTAACAACTGCATAGATTCTGGAATATTTCCAGATCTTATGAAATTTAGTAAGATAATACCTGTCTACAAAAGTGGTGATAAAAATGATCCAGGCAACTATAAACCTATTTCCATATTGCCATCTCTTAATAAAGTTTTTGAAAAGCTAATATTAAATCAACTTTTAGTTCATTTTAATGTGAACAAAATCTTTCACGATGAGCAATATGGATTCACTAAAGGCAGATCGACAACAGATGCGGGCGTCGCACTTGTCAAACATATTTATAACGCCTGGGAAAGGTCACAAGATGCAATAGGTGTCTTTTGTGACCTTTCAAAAGCCTTCGACTGCGTAGACCATAAAACTCTCCTTCAAAAGCTAGAATATTATGGCATTCGTGGCATCGCCCTCAATCTCATTGCTTCTTACCTTAGTAATAGAATTCAAAAAGTATCTATAAATGATGTTAATTCCGCTGGGTCCCAGATGAAAATGGGAGTCCCACAAGGATCAATCTTGGGCCCATTATTATTTTTAGTATATATTAATGATCTCCCCTTTTATGCCAGTGGGTTGTGTGATGTTGTACTGTTTGCTGACGATACATCGCTTATTTTTAAAGTTGACCGAAACGTATTAAATTATGACGACGTGAATAGTGCACTTTCACATATCCTTCCACTGGTTTACTATTAATAATATGGTATTAAATGCCAAAAAAACCAGATGTATTCTTTTTACCCTTCCCAGTATAAGAAGGAAAAGTTTTAGTTTAATATTAAATAACGTACCCATTAATCCAGTTGAGTCTGTTATATTTCTGGGAATTACAGTAGATTCAAAGCTCCAGTGGAGTCCCCATATATCATCTCTTGCGAATAGGCTGAGCTCCGCGGTTTTTGCGATTAGAAGGGTTAGGCAGCTAACAGACATCGACACTGCCAGACTTGTTTACTTTAGTTATTTTCACAGCATCTTGTCGTACGGCATTTTGTTGTGGGGTAGTGCATCACATATAAATTCTATATTTATTCTTCAAAAAGAGCTGTCCGAGCAATCTACAATATCGGAGCCCGGAATTCACTCAGAGATCTTTTCAAAGAGGTTAATATACTCACTGTTGCTTGTCAATACATTTATTGTAATGTTTTGTATATACGTCATAACCTTAATTATTACCTAAAGAATAGTGACAGACATAAAATAAATACTAGAAATAAGGACAAACTTACTACGCCATTGTTTCGTCTACAAAAAGTAAATAAGTCGTTCATGGGGCAAAGTGTGCGCATGTATAATAAAATCCCACAGTCGATATTAAGTCTGCCGCTTGACCAATTTAAATGTAAAATTAAAAATCAACTGATGATTAAAGCATATTATACCATTTCGGAATATCTCGACGACGCCAATGTGTGGCGTTAATACTGTTGATACTCACGTAGGCTAGCATAAGACTATTATACCTGTATATTATATTGTACCCTGATATTTTTGAAAAAGAGCAACTGTTGAGTTTCTTGCCGGTCTCTTCTCAACAGAAACCGCTTTCCGAAACGGTGGTACCTTACGAACCTATACACATAATCTTTGATGTAAAATTTGACTATTCATAAGAGCGCGCAAGCGTCTATTTGAATAAATATATTTTTGATTTTGATTTTGATTTTGAAAATGTTGGAAACTGTTTTCACTTAGTTGTTTGTGGATGTCAGTATTTTTTTTTTGATACACGTTAATAGATTTACAAAGAAACTACTTTCTGGTTTTAGCCAGTCTAAGCCTCGATACTATCAGAGTTTCACCACAGCACCGACGCGACGGGAGATGATTTTTTGTAATTTTTTGTTGATTTTTTAAATAACACATAACAATAACATAACAATAGCGCATAATAAGACATCGTAAACTTTGGTATACAAGTGCCAAGTTTATCCTATTTTACACAACTTGCTCGTAAAATATTAAGACTTTATCGAAATGTAACTTAACGACTGTCGGATACAGTCCAATTTGCAATAACCGCTATAGAACAAAGAAAAACCAAGAGATGATCCAACAAGAGGGTCGTGTGTTTTCCTTGTTTTGTGGGGTTTTATAACAGGAAAATGTCCTTTGAAAAGAAAGGGTATTCATACGACTCGCTTTCGCATTATACTTGATAAGACAAAGGAAGATTCAATTGAGTGGTTGGAAAATGAACTCTATGGTTAGCGCTGACAATCGAATGAAAGAAGCATTTTAAATAGCTGCACAGTAAGAATGTAAATGAATTTCACACAAAAAGCAGTAAATAACGATCGAATCAATTATTTTACAAACGTGATCCCACCTGGAACACTGCAGATGGACTTTTACATAACAATATTTGGATCAATCCCAAAAGCATTGATATTATATAATAATAAACGTTATTATATAACAGAGTGCTATACCTGATACGATTATGAACCGAGGCGAGTTGCAACAATCTTCAACTTCGTTTATGTTCTTGATTAAAAGCTAAAATTTAGAAATTTATATGATAATAATCAAACATAAATATGTACCTACTTTTATATACCATTTTAATCAATTAATTCAATAACATAAAATTCATCTTTCTAACTATAATAAAGGTGGTAAACAAAATATGAAATAAAACCCTTAGCGGATGTTACAAATTTAGTACATTTTTACTCTAATTTTATATAGAATAGATATATTAAATAACATATAATTACAAGAATACTTACGTTTCTTTTTTTATGATCAATTTCAAGAATAAGCAAAAATTTAAAAAAAAGTAATAATCATTAACCTACCAAATCCTCGTCATCATCGGTGAAGATATTTGCTCGGTCCTGCGTCGTCATACCTTCGTATTGTGCACACTGAATTTAAAATAATACTTCATGACTCACGCAAAAAATTCACAAGGCTCCATCACTGAAAACACTTAAACTGCATCCAATTTCGTCCTTAAGTAGTTGCCCGCTTTTCAATGATCATACCTATAAACAGCCGGCGACTTACACAACAAAATTATGTTCAACGCAATACATTGAGATCGATTTTCTTCATTTAATATACGTGCAATATTTAATAAAGCAAACAGCCGAAATATGAATACGATGACACTTCATGAAATAAAAACGCAAGGACCACACGGTGCGAAGTGCGGGAGCTTACTGCGGCGGAGCGGAGGGCGGGCAGAGTGGATACTGCAGCGTCCCGTAACCATGGAAACACGTAGCTTTCTGCGTCGCTGCGGAGGGCACCTTTTCTAATTCCATTTCGCCAGAGGTAATTCTGACAAAAGAACACGTTTAAAACATGTCGAAATATTGTCGACATTGTTACCTGACAATTTCGCGGAACAACATTACCTTTGTGATATTTTCGGAGTGATTATCTTTATTTCTCATAACACGTGCTCTCCCTCCCATTTATACTTGGTAAAATATTAGAGTTCACGAGTTATTAAAAGAATAATGGTTTTAATTTTCCCCTGGTAAAAATCCTTTCCACTGCGCTCATAAATACGAAAAGCATGCAAATCGACTAAAGGTGAATTTTATTCCGTTTTCCTCGCTACGAAGGTGATTCATGTTCGGACGTGCCGGTCGTAGGTAATTACTACACACGGAGCAGCTGAAATATTAAGGTTGGCACTAAAATGAAATCTATGTTTCCCTTAGTAGTGGAAATTACTATAATAATTACTTACAGAACTTTTTTATTTAAAAAATTATTATAAATAAAATATAACTTAAAATGTGTCCCTCCGTATTAAAATTAGTCTTGACGTATAGCGAGGCGTATCAAATGTGTCGTGGTGTGAGGTGTTTGGTTTCGTTTTTAAGAAAAAAGAGAAGGGCTAATTTTTCATCTAAAATTTTCTATAATTAACTTTTATTGTTATTACATATTATATAAATTCTAAAATTATATATTTGTAACGCCCGATAACTTTCAATTACTTGCCCGCATATTTTGACCGCTTGAAGATTTTTCTAAAATACTTTGGTGAATAATAACAAACCTTCGTACTACATAGCATCCGTAATATACGATATCGCGTTGAACGAAACGATTAATCAAGTACAAGTTAATAGTTCTATTTGCGCCCCAATAAAGCAGTAGGGTGGCTTGGGTTCTGTTGAGGCCGATCATGCGTCGGGCGCACTCCGGTTCGTTTATAAATATTGTACAATCATACACGTAATGATTAGGTAGGTACGAGACGCAAACGTTTTCATAATCATCCCATATCCCAAAAATCGAACTAAAATTTGTCTTACCAGCTGCTAGGCCGTTGTTCTCGAATTTTCGTTGAGAATAGTGTGATTTGTTTATTTGTTCGCTGAGTCATATCAAAATTCAAATAAAAACACTACACAACACATTTTGTAAGTCAGTCAGTAAATAAATAATTGGCGTAGGGCAAAGAAATACTGAAATGCAAAAAGAAAATTAGATATTGTAATTCTAAACGACGTTATAATTAAAATTTCCGAACACCGTCTACACGACAAATTTAATTTTAGTACATTAAAATTTCTCATTACGTCCACAAGTTCAATTAATGTCAATCCATGAGTTGGGTTCCATGCCGTTTACAGGATTTTCAATGAATCCCGTTTTTATTTAACAGTTCAAACCGTCTGTTATTCTAAAGCATATAATGAGAGTCCTCAAAGTAAATTGGTGAGGCGAGATGAGAATCTTAGCGCTGTAATAACAATCATTAAAAATATAATACTAATGCTTGGTAAGCGGTGTCGTAATAAAATCTATACTAATCTCTTATGAAATCAAGGTTATACTTGATAGAATATTATATATGATTGGAAATTCTGTGACAGAAAAAAATGTGAACGTCTTTCAAGTGATCATTAAAAACACATTTCAAATACGTAATACTTTCATGTCTGGAAAACAGCTACACTTTTTCTTAATGTACCGAAAACATTTTAACTGGCACAAGCTAAGCACGACCTTTGAATACTAATTTCTCTTTAGGAAATTCTGACAAATGTTTTATATATTACGTCATTGATAACTCTAAAAATGTTTAATATATTTTATGAGTAGTATGTACACGAAATTTATTCATGTATAAATACGAGTTCATTTTTTTAAATGTATGTCAAACCAATGATGTCTGGAATTATTTGCATATGAATATGTCATTTAATAATGTTTTCGTTAAAAAAATATTTTTAGAACATATTGTATCTGTTACATAAGCATTATATGTAATATTATATGTTTACTAATTATTGTATTCTGTGCATGAATTTAATATTAAATATTATTTATTACGTTATGACTCGGTGACGTATTTGATACTTCAGATCTCCGTTATTTAAGAAGCTTTATTATTTATATTTAAATATTATTTTTGCATTGTACTAGGTTTAGCTTCTATGTGGTCTCATATTCATTTCATTGGTGACCTTGAACTACGGAGATCAATGAGGGAAATCCGCAAAATCATTTATAAAATGAATACAGAGCAAATCCATAGTGACTGAGATATTTGATGACCGGTTTTGTTTTATGTTAATAAAAATGTACCTACTTGTACTTCTTCGCGTAATGCGAATGACAAACAAACAAAGCAATCTTGATGAGTATCATCCGATCCTCCCTTATTCATTACATATTTATAGCAACGTCGCCAGCTGTTTGCTGTTTAAAATTTCAATGGTATTCGTAAAGTTCGAGTCACTGGCAAGTTGATAATTCACTTGTTTATTCATGATAAATGTAAAATGTGTTTTAGTGATTATATAACGAAACATTGCAACAATACACATTTCAATGTGTTACGAAAACGCAACAGTCTTCGTTGTTGCACGGCTGGCAGGTCAAAGTAAGTACCACGACCTCTCAGAAGACTGGCGTGAGGTGGAAGCGACATATTTCTGCCTTTCGTCTTGTGAGTGAGGTAGTCGGGGCCCATTTTATAAAAAGGTGGCAACGCATGCAACCCTACGGATGTTGCAAATGTCCATGGGGATCACTTAACATCAGGTGAACTATCAGCTCGGTTGCCACCTTCTCACATAAAAAAATACAACTGTGGTAGAGCTACGCAATAGCTTTTGTGTTGCACAAATGGGCAGCCTCGTCCGGGAGAGTATCTTGGTCTGACAGAAGACCGGCGTAAAGTTTTATACTTTTCCTTTTTCCCTTATGAATGTAGTAATTGGGGCCCACTTTTTTAAAGTTATAGAAAATATCCAAGGGCTCCGGTAATTACTTAACCTCGCGTGAACAGCCGCATAGCCTGCCACCTTCTGTCATATAATAAAAAAAAGCTTTAGAGAAGATTTAAATTGTTTTATGATATGGACCTTGTTTTACCGGGAATTTGTTTAATATGATAGAAACTCTGTTATATTTTTTCTAATTTAATTAGTTAATAATTATCAAACGCTAATGTCACCTAATTTTATACATCTTTACATAGAATAAATCAAAGTCACTCGCAATGTTTGCACGGATTGGATCTTTAAAACTACGCAACAGATTTTTTGATTCCAGCGGAAGGTTTATTGTGTAGTATACATGCATGTTAGAGAGAGTCGAGAAATTCAATATCTACATTGCACCCGTGCGGAGCCTGGCGGGTCGCTAGTTTATTTATAAATCAAATAATGTCGTATGTATATATTTTCATACCTGTCTCATTTAATGTAAAAAATTCGGTACCAAAAAACGTCCAGGAGTAAAAAGATTGAACTTAACGTTGACGTTTTTAACTTAAAGCAATTAGTGTAACAATTAAAATATACTTGTTTGGATAAAGCGTAATGAATGTGCTTATCTTTAATTATTATATCGCACTTGGTTTTTATCTACCCTTGAAGTATTTTCTGAAATATGTAGTTACACAACAAGAAGACTTTAAAGAGATGTAGAAAAATGAATTGACTTAAAATCTTTTTAATGCATATTGACATTTTATGATTATGATTCAAGGGTGAAACGGTTTTTCGTAAACAATCTATTGATCAATATTAACTGTACATAGTTCAATAAAAATAGATGCAAAATAAATAATTTGTCACTGATAATTATGTCTTTACTTATTTCAAAAATTTGTTTCTTTTATATCAGTGCCTAACAAAATGTTATAAAACATTGTTATTGATACACTTCAGTTAAAAATTAAATTGAAACGATGATACTAAGAATTTAAATTATTTAGTATTTTCAAAGTCGTGAAAACTTTCCACATTGAAATCCACTTCCTTACGACATAAAGATAATTTAAAGTAGATACTCTTCTACACTTGAAGAACGAACTTAAATTGCGGAAGTTTGTTCATTTGTTAAACATCTTTATTGGAATTGGGTCATAGAAATGTTCTAACTTTTTTCAAGAGCTTTGGAAGCAGGCGTTTCACTGTTTTATGCGGTTAGACATTTATTTAGATCCCTAATATAAAAAATATAAATACTTTTATGTTAAAAGTAATAGCCTATAAATGTACCACCTGCTGGGCAAAGGCCTGCTCTGTATAGAGAGTATTAGGGAATAGCCCACTACCAACCCAAATGCTGATTGACGGATTTCACATACTTTAGAAAAAAAATTTTTCTTAATATTTCGAAAGTATGTAGGTTTCCTCACGATGTTTTCCTTCACTGTTGAACACGTGATAGAAGCTTTTATGTTAGTGAATAATAATATATGAGAGCTTGTATTTTGTTTTCTTATCTGTATAACATTTTTTTCCTGCGTCTAAATAAACGTATCTTAACTTATACTCACTAATATTGGAATTAAGGAAATTTCTTTGTTCTTATTCTGATTTTTTTAGGGTTCCGTATCCAAAGATCATCGTATCAAAAGTATCTCAATAAGGTATTTTTGTAACATTTCTTTTATATGTTTATGGTGTTCAATAAAGCATATATAATATCTCATGAACCGTGTTAGTTAGACAGTTAAATATTTCTGTTGCCGCTATAGCAAAAAATAGTAAAAAAACAGAAAAAAAAATATTTAAGTGGACTCACAAACAACAGAAAGTAAGGAACCCTTCGTGCGTGAGTCATTTAGTCGTATTTTTATTTATCCAATTTTTTCCATATTTAGTATTTATTTATTTTATGCAAAACATATATGTCAACCTCAAAAGCGATGTAGAGACAGGAATTGACACGATCTAGGAACCTTCTAGGGAGAGTCTATTCTTATTTTAAACTCTTGCAATATTTGTACAATCCACAAGGTTTTGTAAACTCCCATAGGCGCAAATGTCAAAATGGCAAAATTATAGAAAATCAGTATGTCATAGAATTTAGTATTAAACTAGTCATGCTAACCGCGTGAACATCTTATTTTTTCAATTATCACACAAATACGAAGAATTGAAACGAATCTGAGATTCTCGATTTTTCAACACTCAAACGTACAGACAGACAAGAA